TATAAATGCAAGGTTATCAGAACAATAAGATGCATTGAAAAACGTTAAGCTACAGTATGACTGCAGTTGAGGCCTATCATTGTGGGGCACAATGTTATACTTTATTGGCTGTGACATTACATAAAACAAATCTTCTCTGTGTCAAGTGCCCATTCCAAATTGCCCCCAACATCTGTGAAGTTGTAGAGCTCTGGAGGACTACTTAGTTATAACACACAATGTAATATGTATTGTTGGTAGGGGTGGACGGTATCCAGATTTTCATATCGTCATACCATCCTTCTCTCATACTGGTATATACGGTATTACCGGCTTGGTACACAAGGTTGCGCCAAAAAAAAACGCTAAAAACGCCATTGGGCGTCTATTACCAGAATGCTAACAAAATTTGCACAAGTTATAGCAAATTTCAATGGAGGCTGCTCGCTAAATATGCTAACGAGCAGAACGTTATTCACATATAGGTAGGAGCTACCGAATGTCATTTTTTGTGAGTTTGGACATTTACAAGCGAATGTGAACTAGAGACATTGTGCAAATGAACAAAGTTTTGACGCATTCTTGTCTGAAGGAAGAACAGTACTAGCTCAGGAGCAGCATGTGTAGGCCTCAGATTTTTAGAACTAAACCAAGATAGACCACAGCTCGTAGTTTCCAACGGGAACAAATGAGTCATAGTGGGCAGAACAAGCAAGGTGGTGGGCAGAGCCAAGCACGAGCTACCGAGATCCTATTGGCGCGTTCTAGCGAAATTTGCATATTTCAATTAGGGAACACCTACTCTGTGAAGTGCGCGTTTTTAAAACTTTGGCAAAGGGTAAAGTCTACAAAACGTAGTCCACTCTGTTCGTAACAGATTGTAGTTTTGGGAACAGAAAACTGTATTGAGATCAAATATTTCATTGATGAGAAAATTTGCAGAATGTCGGCCAAAATCCATCTCGTTCCTTCATCGTCCACTGCCAGCCACTTGGCTTCCTCTCAGAGTGGAAACGCCAAGCGGATGCTTCACATTATACTTCTGGTGAAATATCTGCCTCATTGTTCTTTCTGTGTGTAGGCTGTGTCTGTGTGGAGTCTGGAGTTGCTAGGGCAACGGGCCTGCCTGCTCTGCTCAGAGAAGAGGGGAGAGAAGAAGAGGAGACATGAGAAGAAGGGCCGAGAACAGAAAGGAGAAACACAAGGGAATCAAGATAGTGGCAGCTGTACAAATAACTCATCCAAAGGGCTTTGACTTCTCAAACATGGCAATTAGCTAACACAATATGATGCCCCATCACCTTATTAATTCAGCCACTTACTTAGATTAAATAGCAAGTTACATTTAGGGGTCACATTAATGCAGAATTCTGTGTTTTTCACGCAGGAAAAAATGATAAAACGCATAAAAAAATATCTTGCTGTGTTTTGTAAACGCAGAAATAAAAAATGCTTCTTATTGTAATTTCTGCTTGGCATCAGACTAATTTTGTGGGTCAGTTGCACTTCTCCACTCAGATGAGAATTCACAAACAGGCATTCTATGAGCAGATGTAACAGTGTTGCTTCCTCTCCTCGCCCCTACCTGGGCTTGAACCAGGGACCCTCTGCACACATCGACAACAGTCACCCTCAAAGCACCGTTACCCGTCGCTCCACAAAAGCCGCGGCCCTTGCAGAGCAAGGGAAACATCTACTTCAAGGTCTCAGAGCGAGTGACATCACCGATTGAAATGCTAATAGCGCGCACCGCTAACTAGCTAGCCATTTCACACCGGTTACACAGACAGCGCTCTGACTGATGTGTAGCTATACTGAACAAAAATATAAATGCAACATGCAACAATTTCAACGATTTTACTGAGTTACAGTTCATATAAGGAAATCAGTCAATTGAAATAAATAAATTAGGCCCTAATCTATGGCTTTCACATGACTGGGCAGGGGCGCAGCCATGGGTGGGCCTGGGAGGGCATAGGCCCACCCACTGGGGAACCAGGCCCAGCCAATCAAAATGTGTTTTTCCTCACCAAAGGGCTTTATTACAGACATAAATACTCCTCAGTTTTATCAGCTGTCTGGGTGGCTGGTCTCAGATGATCCCGCAGGTGAAGAAGCTGAAAGTGGAGGACCTGGGCTGGCGTGGTTACACGTGGTCTGTGGTTGTGAGGCCGGTCGGACGAACTGCCAAATTCTCTAAAACGATGTTGGAGGCTGCTTATGGTAGAGAAATTAACATTCAGTTCTCTGGCAACAGCTCTGGCGGACTTTCCTGCAGTCAGCATGCACGCTCCCTCAAACTTGAGACATCAGTGGCATTGTGTTGTGTGACAAAACTGCATGTTTTATAGTGGCCTTTTATTGTCCCCAGCACAAGCTGCACCTGTGTAATGATCATGCTGTTTAATCAGTTTCTTGATATGCCACACCTGTCAGGTGGATGGATTATCTTGGCAAATGAGAAATGCTCACTAACAGGGAAGTAAACAAGTTTGTGCACAAAATTTGAGAGCAATAAGCTTTGGAAAATTTCTGGGATCTTTTATTTCAGCTCATGAAACATGGGACCAACACTTTACACGTTGCGTTTATGTATTTGTTCAGTATACATTTCTCCAGTACTTTTCTTGGTGTAGCCAGCCTACTCTGGTAAAATGCAAGATTAACTTTGAGCAAAACATTAGAAAATGTAGCAGGCCCTATTTCTATGATAAACATTAGATGGCCCAGCATTGTTTTTGCATAAAATACTTCGCTTTTTCATTGTAAGCTCATTTACTTGTGTGGCTGCCAGCCAAATAGCATTGCACTTCTGTTGTCATCTGATGAAAATGAAGCTATTTTCTGCCGAATGTGTTGCACTAATGTATTTTCTGTGAAGGAAACTATAGTTGCACGTCCCTGATCACTCTATTGAAGCAAACTTTAAATATAAAATGCCGACCTGTCAATACACACCTGGACTCACCTGCTCCCATTGTGCTATTTACAAACAAACACAACTGGCTCAACTATTCTGGGGAACTACAGTAAGCTTCATAATGTAAAATAATGTGACAGGTGAAATGAAAAACGCGATCTGCTTTATGTCTTAACGTATTGCACAAGTTGACTCCAGGTATTTACTTAAAAAGTAGCTACAAGTATTAAAATGTATTGAAAAACTTCAAAGAAAGTTTCAATGGTATTAATGGTATTGAAAAACCATCCCGTGGCTTTTGATTGGAGATAGTTTGATTAATTAAAGTTTTATCAAGTAAAATTATGTAGGATTAAAGATTCATAATATAGATTTTATAGGCCCAGGTACAGTGGCTTGCGAAAGTATTCACCCCCCTTGGCATTTTTGCCATTTTGTTGCCTTACAACCTGGAATTAAAATGGATTATTGGAGGGTTTGCATCATTTGATTTACACAACATGCCTACCACTTTGAAGATGCAAAATATTTTTGATTGTGAAACAAACAAGAAATAAGACAAAAAAAAACAGAAAACTTGCATAACTATTCACCCCCCCCCCCCCAAAGTCAATACTCTGGAGCCACCTTTTGTAGCAATTACAGCTGCAAGTCTCTTGGGGTATGTCTCTATAAGCTTGGCACATCTAGCCACTGGGATTTTTGCCTATTCTTCAAGGCAAAACTGCTCCAGGTCCTTTAAGTTGGATGGGTTCCGCTGGTGAACAGCAATCTTTAAGTCATACCACAGATTCTCAATTGGATTGAGGTCTGGGCTTTGACTAGGCCATTCCAAGACATTTAAACCACTCAAGTGTTGCTTTAGCAGTATGTTTAGGGTCATTGTCCTGCTGGAAGGTGAACCTCCGTCCCAGTCTCAAAGCTCTGGAAGACTGAAACAGGTTTCCTTCAAGAATTTCCCTGTATTTAGCGGCATCCATCATTCCTTCAGTTCTGACCAGTTTCCCAGTCCCTGCTAATGAAAAACATCCCCACAGCATGATGCTGCCACCACCATGCTTCACTGTGGGGATGGTGTTCTCGGGGTGATGAGAGGTGTTGGGTTTGCGCCAGACATAGCGTTTTCCTTGATGGCCAAAAAGCTCAATTTTAGTCTCATCTGACCAGAGTACCTTCTTCCATATGTTTGGGGAGTCTCCCACATGCCTTTTGGCGAACACCAAACGTGTTTGCTTATTTTTTTCTTTAAGCAATGGCTTTTTTCTCCTCACTCTTCTGTAAAGCCCAGCTCTGTGGAGTGTATGGCTTAAAGTGGTCCTATGGACAGATACTCCAATCTCCGCTGTGGAGCTTTGCAGCTCCTTCAGGGTTATCTTTGGTCTCTTTTTGCCTCTCTGATTAATGCCCTCCTTGCCTGGTCCATGAGTTTTGGCGGGCGGCCCTCTCTTGGCAGGTTTGCTGTGGTGCCATATTCTTTCAATTTTTAATAATGTATTTAATGGTACTCCATGGGATGTGTTCAAAGTTTCACATATTTTTTTATAACCCAACCCTGATCTGTACTTCTCCACAACTTTGTCCCTAGCCTGTTTGGAGAGCTCCTTGGTCTTCATGGTGCCCCTTGCTTAGTGGTGTTGCAGACTCTGGGGCCTTTCAGAACAGGTGTATATATACTGAGACCATGTGACACTTAGATTGCACACAGGTGGACTTTTTGTGACTAATTATGTGACTTCTGAAGGTAATTGGTTGCACCAGATCTTATTTAGGGGCTTCATAGCAAAGGGGGTGAATACATATGCACGCACCACTTTCCCGTTATTTATTTTTTTGAATTTTTTGAAACAAGTTATTCTTTTAATTTCACTTCACCAATTTGGACTATTTTGTGTATGTCCATTACATGTAATCTAAATAAAAATCCATTTGAATTACAGGTTGTAATGCAACAAAATAGGAAAAACACCAAGAGGGATGAATACTTTTGCAAGGCACTGTATCTTATTGGTCTTTTTTAAAGATATTTAAGTGTAGCGGGACAGATGCAACTATTGGTTTGCAAGTAACAGTGCATGTTTAATTACAAAAGTGCTTTACAAAATTACAGAAAAGGTCTCTTGAGAACCAAAACTTCACATAATTTAATTTCTAAATTTTGCCAACTGTTTGCTTTGTGATAGCAATGTCCATTGTTGAATAAGATTGAAGTAACATTTGAACCATCAACAATCCAAAGTATTTTAAGGGTGTGTTCGTAAATTCAATCTGGAGTGCCAGAGTGCGCTCAGAGTGCCCTCTGGGCGTTCGTAAATTCAGACGTTGTCAGATTGTCAGTTCGTAAATTCAGAGCATTTTGCTCTCAGAGCGCACACTGGACGCTCTGGCCGAGGAGTAGGGTTGATCCGGGCGTTCTGGCCTCACAACGGCAGTCAAGCACCCAAGTTAACTGGCTAAGGTTGGCTAGCTTGCTAGCTACTTCCAGACACAAATGAGAGAACACCTCACTCTGACCATTTTACTCACCCTAGCAGAGCTGGTTAGGCTGTTTTTATGTTATCCAGAGTGTTGGTGACTGTAACTGCTGCTGGCAACAATTTAATTACGCTTTTTTGCCGACGTTTACTGACACCGGCCATATTCAACGGGTGTTGAGCGTTCATAAATTTGTCAGTTATTCTGCGCTCTGGCACACTCAGATGAGAGTGCTCTGAAATCGGGAGTAGATAGCCAGAGTGAATTTACGAATGCACCCTAAGTGTCTCTTGGTTCATCCCAACAGTCTAGAGTGGCTTTCTCTCCTCTTCTCCTCGACCTTCACTTATCTAAAAACGTAGGATAGGTGAAAGACACATGGCCAAGACCCAATTCCCAGTCCAGTTTTTTTCCACATAGAGGCAGATGAAGGATAGGAGATAAGACCATTTTAGACTATTGAGATACACTATGGCCTGGTTTCCCTGACACAGATTAAGCTTAGTACTGGACTAAAAAACTATTTCAATGGCGATCAAGCAAATAGACAATGTATTTTATTCCAGGACTAGGCTGAGCCTGATCTGTGTGTGGGAAACCAGCCCTATGTGTCAAAGTGCATCCTTCATCAGGAGTTGGCAGGCTGGTCTGGAGATGAATCGGGGTTGCTCTCCACCAGGCTCTGCACTCGGGCCAGGATGATCTCGTTGGAGCTGCTACAGTCTTCCGCTCCGTAGGGGGCGCTCACTGTCAGCACGTTGGCCACACGCAGCATCTCGCCCTCCTCTTCCATGGGGATGCGGTTCTTTTCCAGCCACAGACGGAGGCTCTCTTTCCTGCGTCTCACTTCTTCCGGGCCAAGGGCGCGGGCTCCCGGGGGTGTGAAAACAACCCTCAGCCGCCCCGCCATTTCCTCGTTGCCCTCCTGGAGGACCTCCACCTCCTGCACTGCGTGGCCTGTCACAACTCGGACCGTCGGCGTGCCTCCCTTCTCCTGGAAGGTCACTAGGACGATGCTGGGGGAGGGAAAATAGGTAATGTATTGAGTGTCAGCTCAGCTGATATACACCCCTTTCAAAGCAACAATCCTGGTATTGTCTATGACTGAGTCACATCAAAAACACCACGCTGTAGCTAGGGATAGCAGTTGCGAAGTAGGATGCTCAAACATAAGTCTCATAACAAGAGTGGTGTCGTCACTCGTCACTCACTGTTGTAGCTAGCTACCACACTATATAAGTGGGAGACAAACTGACAAATCAGTGCATTGGTATATTCTTTTCATATGATAGCTTAAGCTATCCATCAACATATTGTGCACATGGCCATGGGGAAGAGTACTGTGAAAGTACCGAAGTTACCTGGCAGATACTGGATCAACGGTAAAAACCCAACCATTATGTTGTTGTTTCTCGTGCGCTGTCACTTTGACCTCTTTGTTGACATATTTACACCACTCCAGTGGCTTCAGTTGACGCCACTCGTCCATGACTGGTTCAATATACTGACAGAGAATAACCTAAACTGAGCTTTAATCTCCAAATCAGATGCTGGAGCTGGCCACTGGCTAGCTGAATTGAGCCTGTGGTTGAATTTGTCCAACGGTCAAATGTGCCGTAATAAACAGTGATACAATTCCAAAGGTTCCGGCCCGAAGAATTAAATACATTTTACATTGTAGTCATTTAGCAGACGCTCTTATCCAGAGCGACTTACAGTTAGTGAGTGCATACATTTTTCATACTGTTATACTGTTATAAATACCTAGTTACACATTACTAACCTCTTCACAACCTAATACTCTACTGTGTGATTCATGGTATGTAGTATGGTATGAAATATTAGTGATTTTGCATTTTATTGCATTGCAAGAGTACATTTTGTGAACCGTCCTGTCTCTGACCGTCCTCTCAGGAGCATCAGTTTGATTCACGCATGCGCAGATTGATTGTAAAGCGGGCCTTGAATCATGTCAAGACACGGTCGAAACGGAGGAGGTAAACGAAATAGCAAAACGGATTTTAACTTCACAAAATAATGCACAAAAAGCTAACCTAACGCATGTTCAATAGTAGACAAAATACATATCGACGTCAAACTCAGTATTCATGAAGATAATCTCATGCTTAGTTAACTAGCATGCAGCTAAGCTAGCTAGCCAGCTATCTAACGTTAGCTACATTAGGCGTACTTAGCTTTCCTAGCTCTTGCCATGAACTAGCACACCCGATTCTCTAATCAATGGCTTGATTATGTAGCTATTTTTCGATCAAAATGTTTTAAAGGGGCAATCTGCAGTTGCTACATCCATTTGTGGACTTATAAATTAATGGAATGTGCCCATTGTTGCATTGATTCTTGAAGAATTTAAAGGTGCAATATGCAGAAATCGCTCCGCCATTTCCTGGTTGCTAAAATTCTAATAGTTTGCTTAATTTCAGTTTGTGACAAAACAAGCAGTCATTGTGTAGAGAATCATTGTACCATCAAAACCGCTGTGAAATATATTTTCCATAACAAAAAGTTACATATTGCAGCTTAAATGCCTCATGACCTTAGTTCAACTGTTGTACCCCATCAGAACCCAAAATATAAGCATGTTTCACTCCAATGTTTGCAAACAATGTAAATGTTAACAAACATTAGCTATAAAGCCTCAAAACATGGTTATAACTATAATTTTTATATCATAGATGGTCATTCCTTACATCCATCGCTCTATGAATTTGAGATAGGTTACATTTCTCCAGCACCATCCCTCAGCTTTTTACCAAAACAGGGGCGGTGAAGTTTTGTTATTGTTTCAACTGCTGATTGCCAGACTGTGATAGCACTGGTTTACCGTCTGATATTAACGCCATACATTTGTTTGGAAAATTACCTCTCACAAGCCAGAATGTTGAATGACTTACTTTACAGGTTGTCTGTAGGAATGTGAGACACTATATTCACAGGAAAGTATACCTAAATCAACTTTTCAAGGCGCTGGTAGTGCATTCAGATTTTTCACCTGAAGCATGTGCAGAACCATGTGAACACATGCACGAGCTCGGCAAGTATGCATGCGTCTCTTGTGCGCATGCTTCAGGTGATATAAATCTGAACGCACTACTAGCGCTTTGAAAAGTTTATGTAATTATACTTCCTGTCGATATAATGTGTCACATTTGTACCTGCAAAAATATATAATTTTATCTGTGTCACAGCCGACCGTGACCGGGAGACCCATGAGGCGGCACACAATTGGTCCAGCATCATCCGGATTAGGGGAGGGTTTTTCCGGACGGGATTTTCTTGTCCCATCGTGCTCTAGTGACTCCTTGTGGCGGGTAGGGAGCCTGTAAGCTGACATCGGTCGCCAGTTGGACAGTGTTTCCTCTGACACATTGGTGCGGCTGGCTTACAGGTTATGCGAGCAGTGTGTCAAGAAGCAGTGCGGCTTGGCAGGGTCGTGTTTCGGAGGACGCATGGCTCTCGACCTTCGCCTCTCCTGAGTCCGTAGAGGAGTTGCACCGATGGGACAAGACTGTAACTACCAATTGGATATCACGAAAAAGGGGTAAAAGTAATTCAGCATTACTGGCTTGTAGAGGTCGTGAGAGGAAACTTTCCTGATACAAACGCTAATTTCTGCCTGACGTAGAATTCAATGCAATTCAACGTCGGGTCTTTGGCTAAACTGCTGATTGCCGCTTTAAATATATGAGTAGTCATTAGTTGACAAGTTGAATTAGGTGTCCTAGTTCTGGAATAGATCAATTACATGTAACATCTGGGGTCCCCAAGACGTTTGAGAACCACTGATAACGTTAGTATAGCTGAAGAGTCTATGGGTTAAGGTGCTAACTTCTTATGTAGAGGGAAGCTCATGAGTCAAAAATGGGTCTGCAAACTTTGACCTTATTTGCAGTTTAATTAGGCTAAGTAACAAAAAGAAACAAAATCCTCACCTCACTAGCTGTTCCACCTTCTGTCTTAGTTGATGTGTTGACTCGTTCACCACAGAGCCAAACGTAGCTAAGCTTGATGAAAACACCCTGCCTCTGTAACGTTAGTCAGTTTCATAAAGAATTCAATGGTTATGTATGACAAATGTTAGGGGATGGATTACATCTATTACATATAATTCAAAGAGCAAATTACACGTTCACTTGGCAACTTCTGCAAATCAGACATGGGCCTAGGCCTAATCAAAACCCCATAAACCTTTTTTCTTCTCAAAGACAGGTAGCAGATTGCAGAAATTGATAAATTACAAGATGTGACACAATCTAGTATCAAGATATGGAAATAAGGTTGATCCTTTGCCTAATTTATTACATTTTCAGGCTTCAAATATTTGCTCAAGTGTGATTTAGGTGTTGCGTAATTGCAGTAAATCACTACATGCAGCTCATTGTCATGTGGAAAAGCACGCAATATTATATTCATATGCCTGACACATAATTTAATTTAGACCATAGCGTGATGAACTGCCTCAGGCCAACACTATGCTAATCGTCCACTGACCTCAATACATGAGATGCCTTGAGAGGACTGCATTTCAATGCGATTTCTACATCTGTGCAGTTACTTACAGCAACCCTTTTGATACTGAGTTTGGGGAGGGGGAAATCAAAGGCCTCTCAGAACAGAAAGTCAGTGAGTTGCATCAGTGGTGGCACATCTTTCTATTTTTCCTTTGCAGACGCTAAGGTTTACGTCGGTAACCTGGGCACTGGTGCGGGGAAAGGAGAGCTAGAGCGGGCGTTCGGGTATTATGGACCCTTGAGAACAGTGTGGATTGCTAGGAACCCCCCTGGGTTTGCCTTTGTGGAGTTTGAAGACACCCGGGATGCAGAAGATGCGGTCCGTGGCCTTGACGGCAAGTAAGTGGTTCCTCAAGACTCCAGACTTCGCCCCCAAGTTTAGTCTACTCTCCAAGGACCTACAAGCTGAAAGGGCTCATAGGGCACCTGTGTTGTTGACGTTTGCCAGTCAATAATGTAATTTGCTCTTTGCAAATATTGAAGCATTTTATTGGTTTAGGGACATCTATCAGTAGAAGGGTAAGCAGGTAGCTGGTATAATCTTGTGTTACGCATTTGCTGCTATCCAGATCATACACTTTAGCCATGTTCCTAAGTGCTTGTTACACTTTAGATGGGTTTCCTTATGTCCTCTTTTTGAAGTGAACTATGCCAGTGTGCAATTTGCTTACTGTTGAACTGACTGTCTTTCAGGTTAATTTCTGGATCTCGAGTTCGAGTTGAATTATCTACAGGGATGCCGCGGCGATCTCGGTACGAGCGTGCGCCCACCAACCGGCCCTTTGACTCCAACGACAAGTGCTATGAGTGTGGTGAGCGGGGCCACTATGCCTACGACTGCCACCGCTACAGTCGACGCAGGAGGAGCAGGTAAGCCTCCTTAACCAATAAATTAGCTTTTCTTATTTTGATAGTTGTCGCTTATTTTTCATTGTCTTGATTATTCAGTGTCTTATGTAGATACAAAAAAAAGTAAAGATGATGATTAAACTATCATACAATCTTGACAAACTGCCTGTGTCTAGGCTACCTGTTGTTGTTGCTACTTTTGTCTCTCCGTCAGTCACTTAATCCCTTTTAAAATATGGAAATACTTCTGAACTGTTATGTGGGATTTATTTTGTTAACAACTCACCTGGTCAAAACATTTCAGGTTTCGCCGTTTGATTCAGAGTGTCACGATCCTTAACGATTTCATGAGGCATCTAGCAAATTCCACACTTTCGATCCTTCTATGACCATGGGGTTGATCGATCAGCCAGACCTCCCCTTCTCAAGCAACTGCCACTTCTAGCTGCACCTTAAAGATTTCATAGAGGGCTGACAATGTACCAGATGATTTGGTTATCAATTTGGGCCTGGGGTTTTGTAAAGAGGACAACCTGGTAGACCATGGTCCCGTCTAGACAAATCGCCTTGCATCTATCAAGTCTCAATCAAGCGATTTGGCTGTCAATACGATCATCATCGTTAGAAATCGAAGAACACGACTAGATGCAGAGGTCGGCTGATAGATACTTCTAGATCGCCTAGATCTGCTAGAACCTTGGTCCAAAGTGGGTCACCCGGGCAATCTTGCAAGGTTTATTTCAAGTACCAATTAATGTGTTTTTATCTCCAGTGTAATGTATGACTTGACAATAACGTTTCTCTCTTCCACTCTACTAGAGAACTGAAAGGCCTGCTTTAAGCAGGATACATTAGCTCCATGAACAGCTATGTCTATATAGTGACTCCTTCTACCAGTACCATTGCATGTGTAATGCTAAATCTAATTGAATCCCCCTCTTTTTGTGTGTTGATTTGAGCCAGTGTCAGTGGGCTTAGGATGATTGTTGTCAGTGGCCAGGTCAGAAGTAAAGGCAGACTGAGGCAGTGTTATGTGGGGCTTCACGGGGCCTGTTCTGAACTGTCCTTCTTTCCCTCCCTCCCCCTCGTTTGGATTTGGTTTAGGTCCCGATCTCACTCCAGGTCCGGTGGGAGGAGGTACTCGCGCTCTCGCAGCCGGGGCCGTGGCAGGAGGTGAACACTTTTATGCACAATCCTTTCTCATTCCAAATGTGCTGTTGTCCAACTTCCTCAGAAGAGTGTCACATCAATCATAGATGGAGTTCGTCTGGGGTCTATTCTTGGACCTCTTTTTTCATAACTAATATGATGAAATACAAATTATTGTATATACACTGATTGTACAAAACATTAGGAACACCTTCCTAATATTCTGTTGCACCCCTTTTTATGCTCCGAACAGCCTAAATTCGTTTGGGGCATGACTACAAGGTGTCAAAAGTGTACCACAGGGATGCTGGCCCATGTTGACTCCAATGCTTCCCACAGTTGTGTCATGTTGGCTGGATGGCCTTTGGGTGGTGGACCATTCTTGATGCACACGGGAAACTGTTGAGCGTGAAAAACCCAGCAGTGTTGCAGTTCTTGACACACTCAAACTGGTGCGCTTGGCACCTACTACCATGCCCCGTTCAAAGGCACTTAAATATTTTGTCTTGCCCATTTACCCTCTGAAAGGCACACATACACAACCCATGTCTCAATTGTCTCAAAGCTTTAAAATCCTTCTTTAACCTGTCTCCCCCCTTCATCTACACTGATTGAAGTGGATTAAACAGGTGACATCAATAAGGGATCATAGCTTTCACCTGTATTCACCTGATCAGTCTATGTCATGGTTCGCCAACCCTGTTCCTGGAGAGCTACCCTCCTGTAGGTTTTCGCTCCAGCCCCAGGTGTTACTAACCTGATTCATCTTATCAACCTGCTAGTTATTAGAATCAGGTGTGCTAGATTAGGGTTGGAGCAAAAACCTATAGGACGGTAGCTCTCCAGGAACAGGGTTGATCAGGAATGGCACTGCAGAGTTTACCAGAACAGGTCTGAATGTATGATAGCTGACAGCTTTGATATCTATGTTCTAGATCAAGATCCTTCTCTCCACACCGCTCTCGTTCTCCTAGAAGATCTAGAGCCCTTACCCCCAAGAGATCAAGGTAAATTGTAGAAAAATGGACTTGCTTGAATTATGTTAAAGATCCCACATTGTGTATAACAATAACATTGTTCACTTATTTATTAAATGATGGGTGTTGATGTTTTCCCCCCCTCATTTCTATTTAGATCTCGATCAAAGTCCAGATCAAGGTCTAGGTCACTTTCTCGTGCAAAGAACAGGTCAGAAATATAACTGTTTCAGTGCTCTGATCAGCATTTCATTGCTATTGTCAACAATGCAGCTACATAAGTTGAGTAATTAACACTTAATACAGCAGTTTGTGGCAATCCCCAAAGATTGCCACCACTGCAACAAAATAAAATGTTGTGTTGGTTTTGACCGTTTCGGCTATTACAATTTAGACTTGTCCCTATCAAGGGAGCACATTTGTCCCCTAGATATATTACATCACCTACTTAAGAGGTGTCAAACTCATTTCATGGAGGGCCTAGTGTCTACAGGTTTTTGGTTTTTCCTTTCAATTAAGACAGACAACCAGGTGAGGAGAGTTCCTTACTACATTGAACAAAAATATAAACACACATGTTAAGTGTTGGTCCCATGTTTCATGAGCTGAAATAAAATATCCCCGAAATGTTAATATGCACAAAAGGCTTATTTCTCTTAAAATATTATGCACAAATTTGTTTACATCCTTGTTAGTGAGCATTTCTCCTTTGCCAAGATAATCCATCCACCTGACAGGTGTGGCATATCAAGAAGCTGATTAAACAGCATTATCATTATACAGGTGCACCTTGTGCTGGGGACAATAAAAGGCCACTCTAAAATGTGCAGTTTTTTCACATAATACAATGCTACAAATGTCTCAAGTTTTGAGGGAGTGTGCAATTGGCATGCTGACCACAGGAATGTCCACTAGAGCTGTTGCCAGATAATTTAATGTTCATTGCTCTACCTATACTCTAACGTCGTTTTAGAGAATTTGGCAGTAGGTCCAACCGGCCTCACCACCGCAAACCATGTGTAACCACGCCAGCCCAGGATCTCCACATCCGGCTTCTTCACCTGCGGGATCGTCTGAGATGAGCCACCCAGACAGCTGATGAAACTGTGGGTTTGCACAAACTGTCAGAAACCATCTCAGGGAAGCTCATCTGCGTGCTCGTCTTCCTCACCAGGGTCTTGACCTGACTGCAGTTTGGTGTCGTAACCGACTTCAGTGGGTAAATGCTCACCTTCGATGGCTACTGGCACGCTGGAGAAGTGTGCTCTTCACGGATGAATACCAGTTTCAACTGTACCGGACAGATGACAAACAGCGTGTATGGTGTCTTGTGGGCGAGCGGTTTGCTGATGTCAACGTTGTGAACAGAGGGCCCCATGGTGGGGGTGGGGTTATGGTATGGGCAGGCATAAGCTACGGACAACGAAAACAATTGCATTTTATTGATGGCAATTTGAATGCACAGAGATACCGTGACGAGATCTTGAGGCCCATTGTCGTGCCATTCATCCGCCGCCATCACCTCATGTTTCAGCATGACAATGCACGGCCCCATGTTTGGGATTCTCTGGGTCGACGTGTACGACAGCGTGTTCCAGTTCCCACCAATATCCAGCAACTTCGCACAGCCATTGAAAAGGAATGTGACAACATTCCACAGGCCACAATCTACAGCCTGAGCAACTCTATGCGAAGGAGATGTGTCACGCTGCATGAGGCAAATGGTATTTGTTACCAACAGATGCATATCTGTATTCCCAGTCGTGAAATCCATAGGTTAGGGCCAAATTAATTTATTTAAATTAACTGATTTCCTTTGTAAACTCAGTAAGGTCTTTGAAATTGTTGCATGTTGCGTTTATATTTTTGGTCAGTGTAATTAGTGACCTTATTTCATCAATCGAGTACAAGGGAAGAGCGAAAGCCCGCAGACACTCGGCCCTCCTTGGAATGAGTTTGTCACCATGTGGGCTAAAGTGTTGTTCACACTTCATGCCTTAATGCTCAAATCAGTTTTGTTTTTCAAATCCGTTTGTGAATAGTGACTCTCCAAACATCAAGTTACAAGTGACCAAATAGGATTTGTGTGTGTTCAGACAGTGGTCATTTGCTGACATGGCTACGCTAGTTGTTCATAGTAACGATGGGTGTGTACGCAGTGGTGTAGACTGATTGGTGGTGGTGCTTCCTATCACTCAAAAGTTTTGTAGCAAGCTAAGGTGACAACAATGCCTGCCATGGACTTCTTCCCAGTTGCTTTGAATATTCAAAATCATAGTGTAAGAACACTTTTAAAGCCTCAAAGAATAAGGTGATCCAACTTTCAAAACTAGTCCTTTTTGGCTAGCCACAGCAGTCAACTAACCAGCTGTTTAGCGTTCTAGTACATTCACTAATTTGTTTCTAAACAATTACCAAGATAGTTAGCTACAACATCATGTTCTTGTCAAACTGTCAACAGAGTAGCTAGCAAGCAACAAGATATGCCAAATAACATTCTAAAAATCACCTTGAGGGCAAATAAATCAGATTTGACCATTCAGACACAAGTCGCATGGCCAGCAATCAGATTTGGATCTGACTTCAAACCACCTACGAAGGTGGTTTGAAATGTGGCTTGAAATATCCAATTCCATGTGGCTATTGAATGTTCAGACTGCAGGAAATATAAAAGATTCGAATCAGATATGCAAAAAAATAGGATTTGAGTCACTTCAAACTGCCAATGTGAACAAGGTTTTAGAAGTGATCTTAACTCTGTTGTGGAGATTTAAAAAAGAAGGGGGAAAAATGATGACAAACATGAAAAGGGGACACTTTAAATCTGAATAATCTGAACGTCTTGTATGTTTACTTCTTCAGGTCTGGTTCTGTGGGCAGATCCAAGTCTGGTTCCCCCACGAGGAGGTAAGCTGAATTTTTGAGTCTGACCCCAATTTTCTTTCTACCGTTCTCCTCTCTGAACAAGCTGTGGAACAGTTTGACAATGCATGGATAAGCAGCAAAATTAGACAATGACAATGTTGTCCATGCGGGAGGGCAGTCATTATGCATGGTTACAGTTTTAATGGTGTAGATGCATGATGGTTCATTAAGTCAGGCTACTTAAGCATTACAAATGAAAGGTAGACTCCGTAATAAATCAACAACAGTTACATTCACATCTTTCAATTCAATATGTGAAATATGTATTTAAAGGTCATTTGAAATGTATTCTTTAAATTCACCCAAATAATACATTTGTATGACGAACTTATATTAAATGCATGGTCCCATAAATACTTTGCTTGCAAAAAATTGACACTGTCGAAGTCTTGTAAGAATGAGCTCTAAAAATGGAAATTCTATTTTAAATCCCAGCTGTTCAAAATCTAAAGCTTCACCTCAAAAACAGAGGTGCGTTTTTCCTCACAACTGAGGTAATGACTTTAATTTGGGGTTAATGCACAGCGAATAAATGAAGAGGGAAAACTCATTTCTGTTTTTGTCTCTTTCAGCCACTCTACCTCGAGGAGTCCTCGTCGACGAAGTGACAGCTCGGAGAGAGACGACTGAACTTGTGAAGTTTTTGTTTCTTTATGTAAGCATCTCTTGTGACTAAGTTCTTTGTAAACCCATTGTATTGTATGTTTGAAAATATGTAGGCTTGTTAATTTCCTCTTGAGGCATATTACTGACATTTCAAAAAGAAGCAATGGGGACCCAGTCTGGAATGCGTTTGTGTTTTAGAAATAGTTGTTGGTTAATAAAGTATATTTGATTTAAAACGGTTATGATGCTGTTTGGTGGTGTGTTGTCCATCTGGGAACAGTTGGTCTGTATATAGCACAACTAAATGAAAAGGTTGATAAATTAAAGGTCTTGGATTGAGTGATCATGTTAACTCCTCTACCTATAGAGGGCAATGTTGCACTTGCGAAATGTGCTCTTCGAATTTTGAACTCAGGATCATAGCACACTGCTCTTGTCTTATCCTTGATACCAAACAGCTACTACTACTTTAAGCTATTGCCTCTATAAATGTGTAGGTTAATATTTTACATCAGACTTGTGTGTACTGACATGTATGTGTAACTGATAGATGCACAATACATGTAATGTTTTTACATTTATGTAAATTGGAAAGCATTTTGTCTGTAATGTCGTTAGGTGTCGGACCCCAGTAACACTAGTTGTCGCCGGCTAATGGGGATCCTGAAAAAATAAATTTGTTAACACATTTGATTGTGAAAACACCCAAGGTCACAGAGACAAAGGAGGGGGTGAGAGATGGTCATAAAATATAATGATCATGATGCAGTTGATGGGCCTCCAGTTCCCCTCTCCACCCAGTTTCACTTGGACAAAGATTTTACAATTTAAAAAAATCTCATGGTGCAGTAATATCTGAAGTGTTTTTCAGACACGGCGATATGCTCTTGGGCAAGGAAAGACCATGGAGCGTTTAGCCTATAACAGCAGTGGGAAAGAGGGCATTGGGCCCTATGACCCCGTATCTGCTCTAGTCAAAAGTAGTGCACTATATAGGGAATAGGGTGCCATTTGGGATGCATTCATTGAAATGCAGCTGTTCACCTCTTGTTTCTCCCCCCTTGTTTTTCCCTTCTCTTCCCAGCTGTTTGATCACAATCCAAAGAGTCTGCTCATATCTTTTAATAGCCTCATTAGCCAAAGGCAAAATGTCAACTACCTAGTGTGCGTGACCTTTATTTTGGTATGCAAGGGGTTCGAAGATGAATCAAGGTTGTGTGGTGTCTTGGGGAAATGGATAATTAAATGCTCTCACATGAGGAATACCTGTATTAGACAAACAACCATCATTGAAGCCTAACTTTCTATCATAATGTCCACCTATATTTTGTTGAAATGGCAAGTGCTGTGTCCTGCTGCTTGTGTTTATCCATGTAAACCCTCAAAACAATTGAGATAATTTAAACATAGAGCTCCATCTATTGGTTGGTTGGTTTCTACAAAGGCAAGGGATCAGCACTGGAAAGGAACACAACCAAAGGTGAATCACGGGGTGCTATGCAAAGGAACCTGCATTTACGTTATAACTTAACTGAATCTACAAATATCAAGTAATTTAACCGGCTCATAACAAATAAAGTATTCATACCCCTTGACTTATTCCACATTTTGATGTGTTAAAGCCTGAATTCAAAATGGATTAAAGTGATTCGTTTTTCTCACACATCTACACAAAATACCCCATAATGACAAATGGAAAACATGTTTTTAGAAAAAAACAAAAAAAAACGTATATCCCCCCCAAATTTGCAAAATGTGTTTACGTACCTGTTAGTGAGCATTTCTCCTTTGCCAAGATATTCCATCCACCTGACAGGTGTGGCATATCAACAAGCTGATTAAACAGCATGATCATTATACAGGTGCACCTTGTGCTGGGGACAATAAAAGGCAACTCTAAAATGTGCAGTTTTGTCACATAATGTTTCAGATGTCTCAAGTTTTGAGGGAGTGTGCAATTGGCATGCTGACTGCAGGAATATCCACCAGAGCTGTTGCCAGATATTTGAATGTCCATTGCTCTACCTATAAGCCGCCTCCAACGTCGTTTTAGAAAATCTGGCAGTAGGTCCAACCGGCCTCACCACCGCAGACAAAGTGTAACCACGCCAGCCCAGGATCTCCATATCCGGCTTCCTCACCTGCGGGATCAAATGAAATGAGCCACCCGGGCAGTTGTGAAACTGTGGGTTTGCACAAACTGTTAGAAACCATCTCAGGGAAGCTCATCTGCGTGCTCGTCATCCTCACCAGGGTCTTGACTGCAGTTTGGTGTCATAATCGACTTCAATGGGTAAATTCTCACCTTCGATGACCACTGGCACGCTGGAGAAGTGTGCTCTTCACGGATGAATACCGGTTTCATGTCAACGTTGTGAAATGAGTGCCCCATGGTGGCGGTGGCGTTATGGTATGGGCAGACAAAAACTGCGGACAACAAACGCAATTGCATTTTATTGATGGCAATTTGAATGCACAGAGATATGAGACGTGATCCTGAGGCCCATTGTCGTGCCATTCATCCGCCACCATCATCTCATGTTTCAGCATGATAATGCACAGCCACATGTCGCAAGGATCTATACACAATTCCTGGAAGCTGAAAATGTCCCAGTTCTTCCATGGCCTGTATACTCACCAGACATTGTCACCAGTATAAACACTTGAAAGTACAACTTAAGTAGTTTTGGGGGGTATCTGTACTTTGCTTTACTATTTCTATTTTTGACAACTTCATTCCCAAAGAAAATAATGTACTTTTTTCTCCATACATTTTCCCTGACACCCAAAAGTGCTCGTTACATTTTGAATGCTTAGCAGGACAGGAAAATTGTCCAATTCATGCAATTATTAAGAGAACATCCCTGGTCATCCCTATTGCCGCTGATCTGGTGGACTCACTAAACACAAATGCTTCAGTTGTAAATTATGTCTGAGTGTTTGGAGTGTGCCCCTGGCTATCTGTAAATAAATAAAAAATAAAAATGGTGCCGTCTGGGTTTGCTTAATATAAGGAATTTGAAATGATTTATACTTTTACTTTTACTTTTGATACTTACAGTGGGGAAAAAAACTATTTATTCAGCCACCAATTGTGCAAGTTCTCACACTTAAAAAGATGAGAGAGGCCTGTCATTATCATCATAGGTACACGTCAACTATGACAGACAAAATGAGGAAATAAAATCCAGAAAATCACATTGTAGGATTTTTAATGAATGTATTTGCAAATTATGGTGGAAAATAAGTATTTGGTCAATAACAAAAGTTTCTCACTACTTTGTTATATACCCTTTGTTGGCAATGACACAGGTCAAACGTTTTCTGTAAGTCTTCACAAGGTTTTCACACACTGTTGCTGGTATTTTGGCCCATTCCTCCATGCAGATCTCCTCTAGAGCAGTGATGTTTTGGGGCTGTCGCTGGGCAACACGGACTTTCAACTCCCTCCAAAGATTTTCTATGGGGTTGAGATCTGGAGACTGGCTAGGCCACTCCAGGACCTTGAAATGCTTCTTACGAAGCCACTCCTTCGTTGCCCGGGTGGTGTGTTTGGGATCATTGTCATGCTGAAAGACCCAGCCACGTTTAATCTTCAATGCCCTTGCTGATGGAAGGAGGTTTTCACTCAGAATCTCACAATACATGGCCCCATTCATTCTTTCCTTTACATGGATCAGTCGTCCTGGTCTCTTTGCAGAAAAACAGCCCCAAAGCATGATGTTTCCACCCCCATGCTTCACAGTAGGTATGGTGTTCTTTGCATGCAACTCAGCATTCTTTGTCCTCCAAACACGACAAGTTGAGTTTTTACCAAAAAGTTATATTTTGGTTTCATCTGACCATATGACATTCTCCCAATCCTCTTCTGGATCATTCAAATGCACTCTAGCAAACTTCAGACGGGCCTGGACATGTACTGGCTTAAGCAGGGGGACACGTCTTGCACTGCAGGATTTGAGTCCCTGGCGGCGTAGTGTGTTACTGATGGTAGGCTTTGTTACTTTGGTCCCAGCTCTCTGCAGGTCATTCACTAGGTCCCCCCGTGTGGTTCTGGGATTTTTGCTCACCGTTCTTGTGATCATTTTGACCCCACGGGGTGAGATCTTGCGTGGAGCCCCAGATCGAGGGAGATTATCAGTGGTCTTGTATGTCTTCCATTTCCTAATACAGTGCCCTCCACAATTATTGGCACCCCTGTTTAAGATGTGGTCGAGGACTTCCAAAAATTCTCATTTTTTTTTAAACAACATAGAACCCAAATGCAAAAAAAGAGAAAAATCCAACCTTTTATTTAAGTACATTACTTTGGTGTAAAAAAAAAAATCACACATTTAGAAAAATAAAAACTTGAAATCATGTGTCCCACAATTATTGGCACCCCTGATGTTAATACTTTGTACAACCCCCTTTTGCCAACAAGACAGCACTTAATCTCCTCCTATAACATTTCACAAGATTGGAGAACACAGAGAGAGGGATCTTTGACCATTCTTCTTTGCACAATCTTTCTAGATCATCCAGTGTCCTGGGTCCTCTCTTATGCACTCTCCTCTTTAGCTCGCCCCACAGGTTTTCGATTGGGTTGAGGTCTGGGGACTGAGATGGCCATGGGAGGACCTTGAGTTTGTGACTGCTGAACCATTTTTGTGTAGATTTTGCCACATGTTTTGGATCATTATCCTGCTGAAAGACCCAATGACGACCCATCTTCAGCTTTCTGGCAGAGGCCATCAGGTTTTTATTTAAAATGTCCTGGTAGTTCAAAGCGTTCATAATGCCATGCACCCTAACAAGGTTCCCAGGGCCTTTGGAAGAGAAACAGGCCCACAGCATCACAGATCCTCCACCATACTTCACGGTGGGCATGAGGTGCTTTTCGGCATACTCATCTTTTGTTTTACGCCAGACCACTTAGAGTGTTTGTTGCCAAAAAGCTCAATCTTAGTCTCATCTGACCAAAGCACACGATCCCAGTTGAAGTCCCAGTGCCGCTTAGCAAACTCCAGACGTTTACGTTTGTG